GAGAAGGAAGTTACCATCAACGCATTCCAGGAACCTCCTGGGTTGCTTATGCCCTGCTGTGCTGTCCTTCCAACAGATACCGGGGTGGGTGAAGTCCCCTATAAGGACCAGGGCTTGTGAACGTGACGCTGCTACTATCTATCTATAGAAGGCCTCGTGCACTCAGTCTTCCTGGTCGGGTGGCCTGTAGCAGACCCCCACTACAATGTCACCTGTCCCTGCCCTCCCTTTAATCCTGACCTGTAAGCTCTAAGTCGTCTCCTCATCCATCCCCAGGCAGAGCTCCATGCACTCCAGCTGGTCACTGACATAGAGGGTGACACCCCCTCCCTGTCTCCCCTGCCTGTCCTTCCGAAAGAGCCTGTACCCTTCCATTCCAACACTCCAGTCGTAGGAGCCATCCCACCACATCTCCGCCATGCCAATGAGATCAAGCCCTGCAGGCGTGCGCACATCTCTAGCTCCTCTTGTTTATTCCCCATGCTACGAGTGTTTGCATAGAGGTATTTAAGTTGGGTCCTGATGAAGCTGCCTTACTGACTTTTGTTTTTGACAAAAACAGTCATGGTAAGCATCCGTTCCTAGTTTGAAATACAGGGTACACCGCCAGCAGCTTGTGTTCTTCTCCTGGTTAATGAATTTTTGATGCTTTGTGTGATTTTTCTTGGCGTCTCCTTTATCCTTCATTTTAGCAGCTTTTCCAGTCTTAAAAAAAAAAAACAAACTAAGGAAAGTTAAAATCAAAACTGTAATATTTTGATGATGGGATGTATAGCTTCACATTTTGTTAGGGTAAGAAAGGGCCAACAAGGCTTTCTGGTCTCGGGTCACTACCTTACCTGTCACGCAGTTACAAATATCCCTTCAAAGAAAGGTAACCAATAATATAAATTGGTTTTAGTCTTCTGTCTTCCCATGAACCATTTTTGTCCCTAGTAAATGACATAGGTGTTTCCAGTCCTCGTTTATCCATGTTCCTGGTTGCTCATGGCATGTCTTTCCTACTCCTGGTCTCTCTCACAACAGGTAGATTTGATTCACACAACCGCATCCCAGTTCCTGCTCCACACTGCTGCTCCCTTCCCACCGCCTGCTCGGGCTCAGGGGATGTCCCTCCCCAGTATCCACATGCGAGTGGAACAGGAGCCAGATCATATTAGTTATTAAGTCTTACTTAGAACAAATACCATATTTTCTACCATGGACTTAACAGGAGGACACACGGAGTGATAGTCATGTGGGATGGAGGAAGTCAGGCGTTTCACGCAACCTTAGGGAAAGGCTGAGCTAAGGCCACGGCAGAGGCTGAGGAATAACCACAAACATCTGACTCGAAGAAACAAAATTCTAGCAAATTTCTACAACAGATCTGCTCAGTTGCAGCAAGGGTGTGAGGGACAAGGAAGCTTCCTCCTGACTAGCGTCACCTTCCAAGGGCAGCTTTTGTTCATAGTTAATTGCATTTTTGCAGAAACAAGATGAGAGAAGGCTGCCACTGGTTGCAATGGTCATTACTCACACCTGAGAAGGGAAAGCCTGAAGTTTCAGTCTCGGAAAATAATCATCTTGTCTTTTTTCTTGACGTCAAAGTTCCCTGCAAGAAAGAGTTTTTCAGGTACTGTCCAAAAGCAATTTGTCCTGATCCTCCTCTTCCTGCTCTGCAACACCCTCAGCAATTGTTGGGGCTTCGTTTTCACTTCTGCTACTACTTATATCACTACCTGTATCTCATGCTTAGCACAAAACCAACAATATATCAGCACCGTGCAAACATGGAAAAGCACTGCATGGAATTAGTTTCTGGTGTAGTGCAACAACACATGCTCACACCTCTTCACTCTTCTATATGGTTAAATAGTACTGAGATACATTTCATTATTCCTAGTGAATCAGTAATTAGTCCTATACCCCCAGCATATCTTACCTTTCCTGCCCACTTCATCTGTAATCTCCACATCAGGAACTTGCTCCTTGATTTTCTTAGCCAGCTCCTGTTACTGGACTAAATATTCTCGTCGTCTGCTCTAAAAAAGCAAATGCACAAAAATAAATTACAACACCCAAATGCTTAGTAGCTACCAATTGTTCACAAGCTTTATGTTTACAGTGATGTGCTAGTGCGCACAACCACACTATTTTCTACACTAATTTGATACGCTGAAGTCCTGGCCCCACTGTAGCTGATACGAAGGAACTGTGTCTCGATTTCACTCGATTAACGACAAGCATGAGCACAGCCAGCTACGTATTTAGAGCAAGAGCACCAAATAAGGTGTGTTTTAAAATATACTGAGAACAGCAGACAGAAGGAAGGACCCAAGTAATTTTTCTTATACCGGACAAGGAACAATGACGCTGCAAACTATTTAGCAGTTGGCAGTATTAACAAGGGCTGTTTCAACTTCTACTAATTCTTAAAAACGTTCATACCAAAAGTAAGAGTCCTCACCTTCCTACAGAGGGGAACACATTAAAGCAAAGGAGGAAGATAACTTGAAGAAACATACTGAAAGCAAGTACTATGGTCATATACAGGCTGATGGCAGCATTAAAAAGCACTTTTTGAAACCATTATTAGGAAACAGTAAGTTTAATTCAGTCTATAATAGCTGTCATATAGGTAGAACAAAATTTGTATTGGAAACTATAAATCATTGAAATAATTAAATATATTGTCAGTATTTTAAAGAGACTATAAATCCATATAGCTGAATTTTACTCTTGGTACTAAAATCAGCAATCCTAACATTCATCATTCAAGAAAGCAAAAGCATATCCTTATTCCTACTTTTTGTGCAATCCAAATCAAGATCTTGATTTACTGTTTTAACATAATATGACACACAAATCCACATCAGTGCTACCTACTGCAAGCTCAGGGGCTGAGAATTAACTTACCATTACTCTCACCACAAAATGGACTACTTGCAAGGAAAAGTGTTAATTGCAAAAAGAAAGATTAAACCATCAGAAGTCTTTTCAGAAGCACGGTTATATTTTTTTTTTAAAAAATGTATTTTTTTCCCAATTGATCTGTTAGGGACATTCAACATGAACTGTTACTGCCAAGTTTTCAGCTGTAGTCTTTTCCCCTCTCCAAATTCCTGCAGTGTTAAGTGTTGCGGCATTAAGCAAGATGCAACCACAAAGAATTAAAGTGTAGGAAATCACTGCTGCAGGCTTAAAAACCAAACCTCTCCTTTTCCGAACCACGTGGCCGCTGAGCCGCAGCCAGGAAACCAGCTCCCCAGGAGACTCACCTTTGCGTATTTTGCCACAATGTCTTTGGGACTGGTTTTCTCTGAAATGTTTCAGAACCTAAATACTGCAAGAAAGCAGTCAACAATGCTGAATTTGGTGGATTGATGAAAAGATTAAATCAGCACACTCGTATATTTGAGGTTTTTGCATAAAGAAATATCGATGCTGAAGGAAATTAAAGTGCATTTTAAAGCAGAACTTACATAAGCAACCAACACTAGTCTACAAGTACGTAAGATTCAGTTTAATGTGTTACTCAATGGTTTTTCTTCTAACGAAAATATCCTGAGGATAGTGGTAGGGAGACAGTGGTAAGGAATCAAAACTATCTGTCAAGGACAACAAATGTAGCTTATCTATTTCTCTATATGAGAAAGATTCTTTAAATACCCTCTTGGTAGGAAAATCACTGAAGGATTTCAGATTTTAACTAACAATAATTAGAGAAGGTTTGAATTATATTCCTGTATTTAAAAACTAGGTTCTAACAAGATATGCTGTTACTTTGGTTTTGCATAGTTATCAGAAGTTTCAGTGCTGCTTCTCCTCTCCTCCTCTAAAGGATCACATCTCTATTCATAGAGCATTTCAAGAGTAATGATGTTTCAGCAGAAGAGTGACACTTGATGTTCTCGGCCAAATTAAATTACATGGGATGATAATGAGGTTCCTACACCCTGACATCAATAGGACATGGTATTACCCTAACACAGTCAGGCTAGTTCTTCAAACCAACTTCTTTCCCTTTTTTTTTTTTTTTTCCTTTGCCACTACACTTTTCCAAAGCCTTCCCTAAAGGATACGTACACATTTATGATTTTTTTTTTTCTGCTAGTGTGAAGGATAATAATTTGTGAAAATTGTAATTCACACCCCCCCCTCACCCTCCCCAATTTAGACATACGCTTCTCATATAATTCTAGCTGTAAGTATCACAGAGTAAGCTAGTACTCATGCCAGGAAGATGTGCAGAAATATGTACAGCGTTAACCACTCCAAGTCTTACATACATTCCCCAACTCTATTTATCCCTTTTGCTCTTGGAAAGGCTTCAGGCCTTTGTCACTGCAACACTGAGCAGAGGGAACACTCCCCACTATCACACACACCCATCACACAAAAGTCACATCTGTTTATTTTGTTAAGAAATGAGCCACAGGCAAAACTCCTGAAAACAGGTATGATGGCTGTAAAAATTAGCTGCGTTGTTAAGTATTTGTCAGGAAACAAAAAGCTTCCTAACTTTTACTTGCAATTTTCCCAAAATGGTTTTCCTATTTCATACACTGAATTTGGTCACATTTTCGCACCACCTGAGACTCCTCTAGAAATCCTTCTCAACTTGAAGAGCCAACCTCAATTACAGATTAACTGCTACTGTTACTTGGCTAAGAATATAGCCTTAAAAAGGTATAAGTACATCTTGAATAACTGCCCATTACCTGGTAGCAACAGAAGGGGATGCAGTCAGGCATCCAAGAAGCAGCTCTTAATTCAAAACAAACATTGTAAAGAGGTTTAAGGTATTTTTGTCTCATTTAGTCATTAACCCCATCACACAAGTTTGTTTACTATGAGAGTTTTCACTTTTTCCCCCTCCCTAGTTTCCAGTGTTAGCCAAAGTTGAGATGCCTCAAAGGCATACAACGGCTTTGATCCAGCATGGCAAATCCTACTTTTCTGCACAGTTACTTGAATTCACTCAAATAACCTTTCGGACAGACAGTAGAAGTCTGTAAACAAGAATAAATTTATTTTAGATTCTTTAAAGATTTAATGATATACAAAATGTATACAGTATTATATCCTTATAACATTTTACCTTTCCCCATCAAACATAAAACACCATTTAAACAGCTATTGTGTTCGTGCCTTAGGTCTGTATCTATAAGATACACTACTGAATAAAAAAATTTATAGAGCTATATACTGCCCTTTTAATGAAAAATTACAAATTAGTACCTATGTAACAAAAAAAAAAAGAAATCGCAGCATGAAACTTCAGTTGGACAACAGTTTTTTCTTGCTGAATGCTCAACAATATTTGGGACAGTTAAATTACATTTTATTGGCATGAAGGTGCATTGCAATCTCCCGTACTTTACATAATGCTAATCCAACCCTAGTCTCTCTTAAATAAGTACCACAAATAACATAACATTAAAGATGTTTTCTACACAATTTTAAATACATTTAAAAGTTATGTGTACATTCAATTTCGATATACTGGTTTTACAAGATCTTTGGAAGGCATAACTTCTGAAGCAGTTACTACGTACAAGGAAAAGCACTTCCAACTTGTGTTCTTACAAGGCAACTTATTTGGACCAGTACATACTATTTCTTCTATTAAACATGATTATACCAGTCTATCATGGCTTTGTTACTATTTGACAGTGACTTGATAAAATTGAAATGTATAAAACAAGAAATTTCATTATGCACAATTAGGGCTCTATTTCACACACAAAAAAAAACCCCAACAAACAAACAAACAAAAACCAACCCAGCTTCACAGCCATGAAGCTGAATCCTGATTCAGGAGACTCTCTCTTTCTATTGGAACAGATGAAGTTCCAACCTTCAACCTCAGCCTACTGGCATCACATATACATCTCATTTGGCTCTGTCCTCTTTAAAAGGCCAGATTAAAAGACGTCTGGTGAGAAAACATTAGTGGAACACTTCCTAAAACGCTCAAAGAATACTCTGGCATTACAGAGGTAGGTGCTTTCCCCTGTCTTTTGCTGATTGACAGTAAGACAGCTGCCAAACAGACAAATGCTTTATCTTAAAACATCAACTACCAAAATCCTTTTGGTTGAAGGCATATTGCACACCACAGGGCTACAGAGAGAAAATCCTCCACTAAACCAAAACAAAATAAAAAAAAAAAACCTTCTGCTAAAAAGCCTCTTTAAAAACGTATCTTAAATACTTGTCATTATTCCACCTTTAAAATGATTAGCCGCCAAGCTGTTCTCTGTAGATGGTTATCACAAGTTGTTAGATCCTCAGATTACGGACCAGCCAAAATTCCACTTATAAGACAGCAATCCTTGTTTTGACATATCTTTCTTTTAATTATAGTGAAGGAAAGATAGGTGACAACTTTGTAACATTCGATGAAGTTTGGATGAAGCCACTGATTTGGTCACATCACTAGAGCATCAGACGAATAGAATTAGCTGAATCGGATTCTTTGGTGCAGCTTCCAGGCTGAATTGTCAATTCAGGGGAATCATCCTGAGGAAATATGATCTTATCAGGTGTGTAATCATTCCTCTTCAGATCTGTACAAACAAAATGAAGTCATATTGATTACTATTTCTTGAGCTAGTAGAATAAATGGGGCATAAAAGTCTTTCAAAGAATTGGGTATGCGTATGTACTTATAAAAAAGAAGTCCTCAATATGCACTGTGTCAAAAAAACTTTTTTATCATACATGTAATCAGAAGCCTAAAGCTCTGCTTTAAAAAGTGATGGAAACCTCAGAAGTATTTTATTGATAGATATTATAGCAAGTATTGGGTCAACTTTCCATGGAAATCAGATCCTTCCATGATCTGTTTTGATGTTACCAGGTTTTACAACTCAAATTTTAAAATAAATGACCTCTCTTCATGTGAGAAACAACCTGGAAGAGAAGTGTGAAACAGGCAGGAATCATGCAAGTTCTTTATGTTGTTCTGCTGGAGTCTAAAAGCCTGATACAGAGAAACAATTTCAAAGTTTGAGATGAGTGTAGTGTAGTCCATGCAGCAAAAATAACTGGAACTGAAAGTTTTAAACAGAATGAATTTCTGTAGACCTAGACATGTTCTTAAAACCAAACAAAACCCCAACCAACCACCAAAAAATAAAAACCCTAAAACACACAGAAAAAGAATCCAACAAAAAAAAACCAAAACAAACACAAGCACCATTTTGTTTAAAAAGCCTGAAGGTTTGCAATCATCTTGACTGCTTTTCCTACTTTTTCTAGGAACCTTTATCATTTTTTTACTGCACTTTCTTAACCCTTGATCAATCTAGTTTACCTTCCTCAAATACTGTGCATATGGATAGAGAACACAGACGTTCTGAATTACTTCATCTGGGATTTTATCTTCAAATGGCATATCATTTTAAAAGTAAAATTACAAAACTGCTGTTGATGACTTATTACACTTTCACAGCGTGACATAACTATTTCATTATGTATCATACAATCTTTCATGACATAAGTGTCTCAGAAGAAGAAATACAGCAACTCTTACCAGGAAGTTTAAGTTTCCTGCAGTATTACAGTGATGCTTTGCTCTGAAGTTTTTTATTGCATCCTCTCCCAAATTGGCCGGCCCGAACACCATATCATATGACCTTAGAAATAAAGTGCACATAAACATGGGTTGCATGTGTTCTCTGGTGAAAATTTTATACTACTTTTCTTTAAATCCTTCTTTAACCTTACCTTTTTTCTCCAGCTTTTATCACAGAGGGATCTGTCAAATTTTCACCAACACCTTCAGGCAGCACATGAAGAAAAAGTTAAATCTGATACATTACATAAATGCATTAATATTGAAAAGCCTTGGTATCCTTAGCTATGACTTCTCAGCTCCCCCAAGAACAAAAGCAGAAAAAAAAACCCAAACCCAACCCAAACGATATGCAATACTGTACCCTTCCAAAATTGCTCCTAAACAAGCACTTTGTACTTCTGATTTCTTCCACCTATTTTTACACCTGCCTGCAATTCCTAACTTTAGTTTTCACCCGTAAGAAAGAAATTTCCTGTGTAGTTCTCACAGCAAGAATATCTGACACACAATTCAGGATAAATACAGCTTACCATATTGGCACTACACAAATGTGCCAAAAAATAGAATTTTTTTATAGTGCATATCATCAAGAAGAGATGTATATATTTATATTCTCTGTGTTGCTGTAAAGGTTTAATGCCATATTAGAGCAATGAAGCTGATGAAGTGTCTAGAGCACAAGTCTTACGAGGAGCGGCTGAGGGAGCTGGGGGGGTTTAGCCTGGAGAAAAGGAGGCTGAGGGGAGACCTGATCGCTCTCTACAACGACTTGAAAAGAGGTTGTAGCAAGGTGGTGGTCAGCCTCTTCTCCCAAGTAACAAGCGATAGGACAAGAGGAAATGGCCTCAAATTGCACCAGGGGAGGTTTAGATTGGACATTAGGAAGAAATTCTTCATTGAAAGGGTTGTTAAGCATTGGAACAGGCTGCCCAGGGAAGTGGTGGAGCCACCATCCCTGGAGGCATTTAAAAGATGTACACATGTGGTGCTTAGGGACATGGTGTAGTGGTGTACTTGGCACTGCTAGGTTAACGGTTGGACTTGATGAGCTTAAAGGTCTTTTCCAACCTAAACCATTCTATGATTAAATAAGGCAACCATAGATTCAGATTAACTAGACCAAGATGCACTAAATTAAAAACAAGCATTATTACAGGCATAGGAATTCTTAATAAAACATTATCACAAGAGAAAAATCCACATATATCTACCTTGGCCCCAATCCCAATTTCAAAATAAGGACATTACCTTGCAGATCTAGTACCAATAATTCTCCTCTTGTATACTCATATGTCCAGTGGCTGAAAGCTAGCATAACCTCCTCTAGCATGTTAGTTGGAATTATTTCATCACCATTATTGTTGTTATATTTTCTAAACTCTCCAGTCATGCACTCTTCAACTGCAAACCACTGGCCAGCAGAGTGGCAATATAACAGGAAAACTTCCAGGAACCTAGTAAAAAGCATACTTAATGAATATATTTCAAAAATAAGTCGTAAATATATCATTATTACTAGATTTTGATTTGATTTACTAATAATTTAAATAACTTGAAACTATTACACAAAGTCATTTATATTATCACACCATGCAAAACGTATCAACAGAAAATACTGCCAAGGATAATTCTGCTTGACACATTGATAGTAATGTTCTGAGATGTATATCCATATATGAGTACCTTAATATCTTTGATTCATCTGTTAACAACCCAGTAGGCATGCTTCTGTGTCAAAAGCATGCAATATAATGGAAGTATAAATCCACTCACCTTGGAGAGTACGGAATAGATTTGGGCTTCATTTGATTGAAGGCAAAGGTGAGCTTCTGTGCTGCCCTCTGCTGTTGAATTTCCTACAAGTCAAAACCCGTATTTCATTAGCTGCATTATAGGACAGGGAACACTAAGGAGCTAAAAAGGCAGCAGGAACAGTAAGCCTCTATTCCCCCAAGACAGTGTAACAAATTACTTCCTTTTTAAATCACGTCTACATTTTAAGAGTTTGAGCTCTTTGATTAAGTAAACCGTACTGGAGCTGGATTTTTAACTCTTTAGCTCATACAGAACCCCAGACTAACCTTTTCTTCTTTTTTAAATATGTATATATTAGTTTTCAGCCAGGGGAGCAGGGAGAATTCCTATTTAACACATAATGCCTGTCTATGTTTAATAATTGACAAGGATAAAACTTACTCTCAAGCACAAGTGTAACACAGTGTCCTCCTTATAAATGCTTGACCAAGTATTCACAACTTCAGGAAGAAAAGACTTGATGATATAAAGATGTCCTGATTTCAGGATATCATATTCTGACCATGTGCATACTACTTTAAGAGCTCGACGTAAACCTCCTCCCATCTCCTCTTTACTTAAAAATTCAATTTTAGCACAGAGTCCTAGTTGTGACCAGGAAGACATGCTGTTGTTCAAGATACTGGGAGAACTTTCTTCGAGGCGATACACAGTGACTGGTTCACCTATGTTACAACACAAAAAAGCAATTACTGCATTTAATTTTCCGAATTTAAAATTAAAAGCACTGAAAACCTACAGTTTCTTAGATTTCAGCATGCTGAAATATTAAGTTGTTGCTAACATCCTGAATTAACAAAAAAAATTAAACTATCCAGTGGGAAGACCCCTCTCCAACTTCTTTCATGCGTCAGCAAAGTAGTACGGTGGTTTTGTCCCCATAATTAGAACTACTGATGACACTGTTCAAACAGCATTAAGAACAGTGAATAAATGTTTGTTGACACTTTATACAAGTCAAGACAACTTAAACAAATCCTTCCAGAATAGTTTGTTATAAAAACTGTTAGTACAATACTATCATCACTGTGTCACCATTTCTGAAGACAACTACAATTAAATCAAAATTTCATAATGAAATGAACTGCCCTAGAAAAGGTGTTATACTCCTTTATATTTTTGAGCATTGCAAGACAGACACTATATTTCTTTTAGTTCACTAGGACTTTAGTTTCACACTTGCAAGTGTGAAATCTGGTTTGATCATTCTATATCAGAAGGAATCTGTACAGGGTTTCCTTTTGTTTTCTTCCCTAAAAGAAAGTTCACTATAGTGAACCAGTAACAAGAAATACAATTCTTACCTCTTGGAGGCACAGGAGTGAATGGAATGCTCTGTGACAATCTCATCAAGTTATTTCTTTCTACAGCTAGAGGAAAATTACAGCATTTGTTAAAGTTTAGGGATCTAGTAAGTGTGATTAAAAATATGAACATTAGTTCATTAAGAGGGACTGACCTGAGTAATAGTAATTGATATCCATGATAGGCTTGAAAGGAGAAGCAATGCCTGAAAGAAATTAAAAAAAGAGAGATACTGCTTGCTACCTGTATTGTGTATCAAAATTACCACATGCAAAGAACACTTGCCAAGTAACTACTATTTCAAAAAGATGTGCACTGCAGAAAATTATTATGCTTAGCTCTTCAGGACCTCAGAGGGAAAAAAAGAAAAAAAAAAAACCTGTAGTGCTCAATAGAAGGCTATTTATTTAAAAATAAAACTACACTATTTTGTGTCCATTACATTCCAAAATATCAGGCCAGCAAGGCGAGGTGGTGGAGTTGCTCTCTATATAAGAGAGCAATGGGAATGTCAAGCTATGCCTAGGGGCAGATGAAGAACAAGTCAAGAGCTTATGGATAAGAATGAAGGTGCAGGCTAATATGAGTGACACTGTTGTGGGTGTTTACTACAGGCCACCTGATCAGATGAGGAAGTTGATGAGGCCTTCTACAGACAGCTGAAAGCAGCCTCACGATCACAGGCCCTAGTTCTCATGGGGGATTTCAACCACTCTGATACCTGCTGGAAAGACAACACAGAAAGGCTCCCACAGTCCAGGAGATTCCTGCGGAGCACTGATGATAACTTTTTGACACAGGTGGTGAAGAAGCCAACAAGAAGAGGTGCTCTGCTGGGCCTTGTACTAACAAACAAAGAAGGATTGATTGGGGCGCCTTGGCTGTAGTGACCATGAGATGGTGGAGTTCAAGATCCTGCGTGGAAGAAGCAGGGCAATCAGTAGGATTACAACCCTGGACTTCAGGAGAGGTAACTTTGGCCTCTTCGGGGACCTACTCGGAGGGATCCCATGGGTTAGGGGCCTGGAAGGTAGCGGGGCCTGGTTCATATTCAAGCAGCACTTCCCCCAAGCTCAAGATC